GTGCGGGCTTGTCAATCTACCTTGCGGGCTCTTGCGGGCTCTTTCACCTGCGAGCATGATGCGTTGAGCCCGCAACAGCCTGCCCTTTTGGAGGCACTGGTACCTAACTGCGGAGCAAGGCTTCTGGATGTTGTTAAGTTTGAAGCTAGAAATCACCCAATAATGGCATCCTGTGTCTGCGCAGGGTACGTGATGGTGCGGCGCGAAGGCCGCTGGGGGAAGCTCTGCGCCAAGGGGGTCGTCGGGAACGACTCGGCCCCGGAAAGGGTCCCGGAGCAGGACAAGGTAGGCTCCTGGGGGCCGTTGCAGCTCGGCGAGGTGGTGTGCAGAGCGCTGACATTCAGCGGCGTGGAGACGGCGCAACTGGCGACCGACGAGCAGAGGGTGGCGGACGACTCGCCCTTCTTCGAGACGGCCAGCGTGAACGCGACGGAGCAGAACAAGGGGTGAGTGTGTCGCTTAGGGCTCAACGTCTCCGTCCGTATATGACCGTAAATTATGGGCTGTTTCAACGAAAACGTGGAGAGAAAACACCTCAAATATGTTGTTGTTCCTCAGGAGACAGCAGACATTCGTTGAGTCGACGTGTCCAAGCCGGCAGGTTCTGAGAGTGTCCTGCAAGAGCCTTCAGTGCGGGGAGCGCCCCCAAGCCACCTCTCACTGGGCGAGGTAAGGTCGCTGACAACAAGCAGTCCGTGCTGGCGTCAGACTGGCGTCGAATGTCCAACAAAATGTAGTCATACTTCCAAGAAGGGTCTTATCGTACAAATTTGCGTTTCCCCCGCAGGTCTGCGGTTGCGGCGGGTCCGGTGGTGGCCACCTCCACGGCCTCCAGCGCGGCCTCCAGCGCGGCTGGCCGGCGGGCGCGCATCGTGGGCGGCACCAACTCGGGCCCGGGGGCGTGGCCGTGGCAGGCAGCCCTGTACAAGGAGGGCGAGTTCCAGTGCGGGGCCACGCTCATCTCGGACCGCTGGCTGCTGTCGGCCGGCCACTGCTTCTACCAGTAAGTCAAGTCAGTCTTAATTATTGAGATGCCCGGACGAACTTACAGTTTGTTTCTCAATAATCGAATTTTCAGGCAATG